ATGGCATAATTGAAATTCTCAATTTTTAAATACTTCAAAAATTTAAAAGTTATACCAGAAAAATAATTGATAAAATAAGTGATCAATTTCAATCAATCCAAATAAATTGCGCATTCGCTCTACTCTACTCTACTCTACTCATTCATCTTGTATAAAGAATGGCGCGCTAATTTCATCAATTGCAACTTCCGCCTTCATTTTCCTTACTTCGCTTCTTCCATTTCAATTTATCGTTTATCATTTTTCTTTAAAATTACAAAAAAAAAACTTTCTCTTTCTCAGTAATGCTACAAACAAAACGTCACTGAAATGACGCAATTTGTTTTTAATATTGTTAAAAGAATATTTATAATAACGAAAATTTCAATTACTAATTAAATTACCATTCGAAATAATTATTACATTTATTAATTTTGGTATGAAATTTCAAAAGAATTTTTTTTCTGTTTTTGTTACTGATATAAATGATTGAAATGGAAATTAACAATTTATTATCAACAAATTTACCATCACCAAATGTAGAAATTCAACAAATGTCACATAACATGAAAATATCTTGAAGAAAATGATTTTTTTTTCCATTTTGTCTAAATGAATTAAATTAAAATTTTGTAAAATTTCAAAAATTGTATTCGATTATATGGTGGCAATTATTGGAAAACAAATAAATATATGAAAATTTAAATTTCATCTTTAAAAATAATTTACATCTTTTTTATTTGTTATCCAAAAAATGATTGAAATAATTTTGATTTTGTAACCTTATCTTTCGATCAATATTTCGTATTTTCATTGCAATGTTTATAAATCAAATGCAAATCAGTAAACTACAGTAACCAATGTTTAATCGAATTCTCTTCATTTGCAAATATTTTTATAATTCAATTTCTACAATTTTATATTAGAACTGGTGAAATTAATAGTAATTAAATAATCAAAATTAGAATTCTTCAATTTCATTTCCCCATTAACTTGTCATTTGATTTTTTTTTTGTCCAAAAATGACCTATATCTCTCCGTTTAAAATTCTTTTCAAATCAATAAAAACAGTGAAAGTAAGTTGAGGAATATCAACCTTTATGAATTACTTTTCAATTTATCTAATTATAATTTCGCTTACGTACGTAATTAGTTTTTGCGTAATCACGTAATCGTTATAAGTATTTTTTATTTTATGATAATATTTTTATCTATATATGCAAAAATGTTTTTACAAAATGAAATAAATTAAATTTTTTTATTTATAATTTTTTCATAAACAGTCAGTGTCATTTAGTTGTCACATTGAAAGAACAATCTACTACAGTTTAATGAATAATTATTAATAGATATATATTCATCCCAATTATCATTCTTCGTCTCTTCTAATTTACCCTCACTAATTAATATATTTTAATCTTATCTTTCCGCTTTCTTTTTATCTTTTTATCAATAGACATACATATCGTATTGTCCAAGAGAAAAATACAGTAACAATGATTTGCTTCATATTTTATATTTGAAAAAGAATAAATGATCATTTGAAAAAAAAAGACCAGTTTCATATTGGGTTAGTTTAAAAAAAGAAATTTCATTAATATTGAAGAGAGAAAAGAAAGAGAAGGAGAGAGAGGGGGAGAGAGAGCGAGAGAGAGAGAGAGAGAAGAACCAGTTAAAATAAAGTTGGTCATTTTTAAATACTCCATAAAAATGATCAGAAACATTTTATTTGTTAACAATTCCATTGTAGTACTATAATCATTTATATACTATAATCACTTCTTTTTTTTTCAATTAGTTATCGAATAATAAATTTTTTGTTTCTTCCTTTTTTTCTTTTGTTTCCATGAGGATTATTCTTGATAAGCTGATATTTTTTGATCACTGATAAATGTGATATAAATGGCTAATTAGTTATCACTCATTTATATTGCTACTGATAAATGTTGATATGATTTTTTATTTTTCTTTTCTTTTCCATAAAGATTATTTCATTGACTGATATTTTTTGATATCTTATAGGTAGAATATAATTAATTATAATTAATATTAATGTAACATTTGCTTTTTCATTTAATTAGATTAATTTAGCCTCATTTTCTCATTTCCAAATGTATATATATTCAAAGTATATAAGACTAACTATTTCAGCAACATTATTTCTGCAGCTTTTAATGCAGAAAACGAAATATTTGGAAGTTGAATAAAAGGACAGGTGACAATTTTATTTTCATTATGTACATCATTTCATTAAATCTCTTTCTTTCTCCCTCTTCTTTCTCTCCCTTTTTCGCTTTTTCAGTTTTTGTCTGTATTATAGGAATTTTGTTTTTCTTTAGGGTTAATTTTTTGGAAGAATTCTCAGAATTAAGATAAATACTACAATAATGATATGGAAAATAACAACATTTTGATTAATTTGTATAGAAAAAGAAAGGAAATATGACAAAAAACTATAATTCCAAATTATTTGTAATTAATTTCCTTCTCTAATATATCCAAAAATCAGGTTCTTTTTAATTCCCAACTAATTATGAAATTATAATGAGAAAAAAAACTCAACATTTTGTAATTATTACATGAAATGATTGACTAATGATGGCATGAATTCAAAATTAAATTATCATTTATTTCACAATTCAATTTTTGATTTTTTCATAAAAAGACATTTACGATTTCATAATTAACTTATTGATAAAATACAAAAATTTTTATTATTATTTTTGATAATAACGAAAAAAAAACAAGGTGATTGATTGTGTAAGATCAACTTATCATTATCATTTACCGTTTTATTTATTTGTTTTTTGAGTAAAATATTCGTTTGGGATTGTAATTTTTCAAAAAAAAAAGGAAATAAATAAATAAAACTGGTTTGAAAGAAGCGTTTATGGAATGATATACTAAATAAACTTCTTCAAACTTACTAGTTTTTAAAAAAGAAAAAAAACTGATTTAATTATCACAAAATTCAAATCATTTTTGATAATTCTACGGCTACTTTAATCAAAACCGGTTTTGAGCAATCCGGAATTCAGAACAAGATATGTAACAAATTGTAGCATGAAACCAGTTTAGCAAGATATTTTATGATTACAATGAAATGAGTAACTGAGAAAAGAAAATCTTTTTTCATGCGCTTATGTCTGTGATTGTTTACTAATTGCTTATCATTACTAATCAAACAAATTAGTAATAAATTCAACGAATTATTTCAAGTTCATTAGCTTGCTTGCCTTGTCAAGCATATTAACCTACGGTAGTTGCATTAGAAATAATATTACAATAGCTAAAATATTCCACTATAGTAATAAAAGGTTATAAATCGAGCGAATGGTGGTAAAATATCC